AAAATCCACAAATTACATAATACTGTGATATTTAATTGCAATAATGAAAAAAGTCACAAAAACTTACATTTGATAGTCAGGTACTAAAAAAATAACAAAAAGGTTTTCATATATTTTAAAAATATTAATAGAACAAAAGCTGTCTAGCACTTTCTTGTATTGAATTTTTTTTTAAATGCAGTGGAGGTCAATTGATATATATTTTAATTACTACATAGGCAGTCTTTGAAAAATTGTTTGGTTGCCAGCTCCTAGCCAACTGGCCCAGCCCAATTTTTATTTTTTAAAATTCATAGATTTTTTTTCTCTCTGGAAAATAGATTTTGAAAATTCATTGATGTTAAAATTTTCTGGAAAAAAATTTTTGTCACCTACTTACCAATCCAATTTCTTTATCCTGAGTTGGGAGAGGGCAAAAGAACATTTTTTAAGTCAGCCCTACAATTATATTTGACAATTTTAGATCAGATTTTTAATTTTTTTTAATATGACATGTTATCATATTTAAAGAGCAGACATAATTGCCTTGCAAAAATATGCACACTATTTCTAAAAAGTATTTCCTATATGTAGTGTATTCATTCAAAATTTTTTATCAAGTTCTAAGAAAAAAAACTTTTTATATGCCTTTTTTTATTAATTTTATTATAAGTGATATCTAACATTGTAAAGTTAATGATAATAAACCTAAACGACCAATTAACAGGCAATAAAAGTCTGAAATTCTAACAAGTTGCCAAATAATTGACTTCACCATCTAATTTATGTATGATTTACAATGACTTTAATCAAGTTATATGAAGAAGGGAAAAAATATTCTAATCAAAAACAAAAATGTGTTTTAATGAATGCATAATGTAATTAACTCAATTAATAAAGTGACAAAACGAGAAAATTTATTATTAGCTTTGAAATTTTTGCTTCACCATATATCATATTTCTATTTAAAAATAAGACAGGCTATCATAAATGTTTAACTTAAAGGTCAGTTTGAAAGGAAGTTTTATTTTGGGCACTTATTATACATTAATTACTAGACTTAATGAAATAGTGATTCATGGAAGCCGAAATTTTTTTTAGTAATTCAAGGAAGCCAAATATTTTTTTAAAAATTGGAAAAAAAAACATTTTCTGCATTCAAATTAATATGTAGAAACAATTAACCTCTCACAAAAAAATGAAATCAATAATTTTTTTTTTAGTAGGGACTATACCTGATGTACCATCTCCAAGCTCACAGTCAGACACAGGTTCGGCGCCATCTACGCCAAGGGCAACAACTCCTCCCTCTCCTGACCAAAGTGAGTCCTCCTACCTTAATTTCATGAACTAATTATCTGAAAAAAGTAAAATTGGACACTATTTCCTATTTATTTATAAATCAATTGCCATCTACTACATTGAGTGACAGCTAGAACAAGATAACATTACACAAGGGCAAAGGTTACCCTAAATAAAATTTTCTGTGGAATAAATGTATATATTTTTAAGATTTAATTTTTTCTCCTCACACTTTATAAATAAGCACATGATCAGGAATTCTGAACCTATGCCATTAAAAGACATTATGTCCCACTTTTTATGAAATATTAGCAATCCACTAAATTAAGTCTGTAATGACTTTAAAACACAACTTCAACTGAAAAATTAAAATTCAATAAAACCCTATCCTCATTTGCAGCAAATTTCATGGCTCCAAATCCAAACAAAGGATTGAAGCGGACTTTTTGCCTCAGGATGAAGTCAACATTAACAAAGAGGGGTGTGCATATCAGAACTTCTGGATACAGGGTATGGATGCTCAGTGCATAATCATTTGAGCTAAGCATTCTCAAACATCAATATCTTGACAACAATGCATGTTAGATTTGAAAGTCTCAACTTTTTTTAATATTACTCTTATTAAATGGATTCTTCAAATATCTCTAAGATTTGTTTTCTTTCTCCCATGCATTTGAAATAATTAGGATTGCCTGTTGTCGTTTTTTAAAAGGACACAAATAGTGTTTGGCATAAATTAATCATGATTTTAATGTATCTGTAATATTAACTTTTAAGTATCTAAACTAAATTTCAAACAATATTTGGATCAAAAGAAAAAAAAAACATTTACGTTGATTATAAACACAATTCACATTTAGCAATACAGTTTCTAAAGATCTCTACATTCAGTATACCATGAAAACAAAGCTGAGTTACGTAAATTTTGAGAAGACATTGAAAATATAATTAATGTTAAATAATTCCTCATGCCCACTTAAAAAGAAGACATGGAAAAGATCACTTAAACATCAATGCATGATCACAGCATCCTAATTTGGACATTTACTCTAATATGACTCGGTATGTGCACTATTATGAAAATTGTCATTATAGTGCTTTAATTTGTGGAAAACAAGGAAATACAGGTGTAAATACATTAAAAATTGAATAATTACAGAATTTAAATATCAAGTAAAAAATTAAACTTAATTCAATACATCTTCTAATTAAATTATCTTCAATCTAGTTTAATAGGAATTTAAAAAAAATTAATTTACATCTTCTAATTACCTTTGATTTTAGTTATATTAAGGAGAAATGGCAAATAAACAACTTGTATTTATTCATTGAACAAATTTTAGGGCAAATAAACAACTTATATTTATTTAACATTATTTTACTGGAACAAATTTTAGAAAATAAAAAAACAGAATGGCTCTTTGAAACAAGATTGATTTAATACAACAAAATAACACTTTTTGTTATATAATTTTGGAGACATTTTACAGGAAAGAAATTAAATAACATTAAAAAAGGAAATCCATTTACATGTCCATGTGACCTCAGTATAATTTAAATAATGTTTGCATTTTTTGATATTATAAAATATTTTATACTGCTTGTAAATCGCATTGAAAGAAACAAATTGTAGTTAAGATTTAAAGTTTAAAAAATAATAACCTCTGAGTGATCTACCTTGATGATGATTATGCTATGAAGATTTATAAAAGTTTACTTTATTTTTTAATTAATAAACTGATTCAAAATAAAATGTATTTTGTAGGACACGAAAAAAGTATTTAATCAGGGAAATCACTAATATAAAGCCAAAATTTTATTCTTGAATATTAAAACATTTTTTTTTAAATTTTGTATGTTCTCCCAACCAGTTAATTAAAAGAATTAGAACATGTCAATAGTCTCATTGTCTCATAATAGCATGTGGTATGCTAGCACAGTTTGCTTCCATTTTCCTTTATTGCTATTAATCAATGGTGGAAGTTTTGATAAATGACGAATATGTATATTGCAAAAAAGTCATTTCGAATGATTACAAGTTGTACTGTGTCTATATCTATAGACCTATCATTAGCATATGAAAGAGCGGGTATTTGTTTCTATATTCATACAATATATTAATATGACATTTCAAAAATAAGAATGGGTGGGGTGGCGGTCATAATACAAAGTATGTGAAGAATGTCTTTGATAGTGACATCACAACTGTCATGAAAGGGGGGGGGGGGGGGGGGCGAGAAAAAAATTCAACTTACCTGAGAAAACTTGACAATACAAAAAAATAAAGGTGGAAAGAATATTGTCCAAACTCGAAAATCCTATTTTGGAGAGAAATAGAGAGGGCGGGGTCTAGGTTTCAACTTCTTTTATAACCTTTCTTCATTCAAACATTACCCTCATTATAATAACCTTGTTTGTCTTCATTTACTTTGTATTTGATACGGAATGAGCAGATCGACTGATAATAAAAGAGTTTTTGCCCCCCCCCCCCCTTACATTGTGTTATATTTCTCCAACCGATACCGAAAATATTCATTACAATAATATCCAAAATTTGTATTAGGTAATATCTGGAACAGCACATTTGAAATTTATAGCATATATGAAAAAGTGGCCTATGGATAACATTTCTTGTTTAATTATTTGTATAAATCATCAGCTTATAAACGGATTGCTGAGAAACAAGAAATTGTCGCTTATACTTGCAATGTCCAAAATCATAAGCATCAATACAAACTTAGGATGATCTTAGGACAGGTATTATGTTGTCCTAAAGTTAGGAAAAACTTAGGAAAGTTCCTAAATTTAGGAAAGCTTCGAGAAACTGACTTTAGATTAGGACATTTCCTAAGACGTTCTTAAGACACACCGTAGTCCTAAGATAGCTTCATGAATATGCCTGCAGATTTCCCCCCTTGTAATACCTATTATGGCCCCAATAGGATTCTGAATAATTTAGAATCCACGCAACCCCAGAATGCTTTCACCTGTTTCAATTTTTCTGGCTCAGTGGTTCTTGAGAAGATTTTTCCTATATATTTCAATGTAAAACTTGGATTCCCTATTGTGGCTCCGCCCTACCCCCGGGGTCATGATTCGAACAATTTAAAATCTACACTACCCCAGGATGCTTTCAAATAAGTTTCAACTTTTTTGGTCCAGTGGTCCTTGAGAAGGAAATTCTTATAAGATTTATCAATGAAAAACTTGGGATTCCCTATTGTGGCCCATCTTACTCCCAGAGGTATGATGTATAATGGGTGATCAGAAAAGCTAACTTGAGTTCTCAGCTCAGGTGAGCTAAAAATATATATTATATTATTTTCTTGCCCTTGACCTTTCGACCTTAAAATCAATACTTAAACTATATAATCAATTACATATCTCAATTCAGGTGGTGTACATCACGGGACACTTGCGACCACGACCTTGTTTTGGAGCCAACAGGAAGTTGTCGTCTAACATACTGGGCATGGTTGGAATGGCTGTGGCTCTCCCTCCCCCCACCATTACAGAACTACGTATAGAAAGTGACACTTTTATCATGAGGCTAAATCCTGACTTCAGTATTATCTACTGTGATACCTTGTATGTTTGTTTTTTTTGAAAATCAAATTTTCATTAATTTAAATTCTTTTAAAAACATTAATGATATAATGTTACGCCCATGCAGTAATTGAGATATCCAATCCCAAAGGAAATTCCTAAATACCTTACAAATATTTTCAATTTAAGAATCTCTGAGCTAAGTGAATGGTCGGCTGATGATGTCATCGGGAAACCCATGTATGACCTCTGCCACCCAGGTGACCTTCAGAAGATGAGAAAAGCACATAAAGATTGTAAGCAATATGAGCTACACTGTATAGATTATTCTGCTTACCGGTACATAATGACAAAAAATCTGCAAAGATAATTAAGTAGATCATACATCCTCCATTAATTAAGTATTGAAAGGACTTTATTTTTTAAATGTTGAATTCATGTCATTCTTACATGTATTCTTTATGTAACTGTGCAATCAGCAATATGCTGAACATGTATACAGAAACATGTCAATTACATAATAAGTTCAGGTATTAAAATGGAAACAATTAACAGTTGGCAAGAGGACACTTTGAGTGTTTCCTGTAGTAAATCATGTAAACATGTAATATACATATATCTCTTTATAAATGTATAATGATATTAAAGTAAGAAATTTGATGTGTGTGAACACCAAGTAAATTATTTTGTAATTCATCAATTAATGGGGGGGGGGATTATTTCAAAGTTTCCACATCATCAATGTGTCCATGCATCATGTACCCCTATCTGGATGAAATATTTTTTCTTTTGCAGTAATAACAAAAGGTCAGGTCTTGTCGGATTACATACGTCTTATAAACAAGAATGGTGGTTATGTGTGGTCTCAGATGTGTGCCAGTACTCTATACAGCTCCAAAACCTCAGATGTCCATACCGTTCTTACCATCATCTATATACTAAGGTAACACTTGCAAAGACAAAGTATAGGGAATCAATAACTGGCACAATTTATTCTCAACATTTCATAAATTCTAATACTGTAACAGTACAAGTCGTTTATTATCACAATGGTTTTATATCATACTTCTTTTTTTGTCATAGATATTTGAAACACAAAACCATTTCTTAATCATTCAATGTAAATTTCTTACAATTTAATCTCAACATTTCATAAATAATAATACAATGTGCATATAAATTGATCCATACACAAAAACTTTTTATGTGCAATAAATATACACAACTGAGATATATATATTTTTCATGTAAATTCTGAGCTATAATTTCAATTTTGATACCCAGAAATGCTCACAACTGAAATATTAACATTTGAATTCTGAGCATACAATATTGAGTTAACTGTCTTTGCATCCTGATGCAAATTTCATATTTATCCAAAATCTGAATCTTTCAATTCATTAGATGTTCTTTCAAATTTTTCTGACTTAATTAATCATTCTAAGATTGATTCTTCTCAAAAGCATATGTGCATTTTTATAAAAATTGAAGATATTATTGATTACATTTTTTATGCAAGTCTCAGAATTACAGTGACTGTATATATATTTTCAGTGGGGTGGAGCACGGACATTGTGTAATGGATATTAGTCAACTCCCCTCCTCAGTAAAAACTGAATTGGACCAAACATCTTCAACCAAGGATCCCAATATCACTGGAGGTACTTACAATAAAAAAAAAAATAACACAAGGGGAAAAGGACTAATTCTGTTTATTTGCTTTGATGATAGACTTCTAAAAGATGTATCATCTGTCTTGATGGAGATTAAAATGAAACTGATATTTAATTAATAGTTAGATTAATTTGAAAAATTGAGGAGTTGTAGGGGGGATAGAATTTTCTAATTACTGAGTTATCTTTCTTTGCTAAGGGAAATATGCTTTTTAATAAAGTATCTAGAATATAAAATAAAGTATTTTCCTTTACAGATCAAATGCAAGATCATGATGAAAATAAGCCCACTACTAGCCCAGGCTGTGGTGAAATGGATACATATAAAACACCAGAATCTCCCGATAATCCCCCCAAAAAGAAGAGACTCTCAAGCAATGGTTCAGAAATGGATGACCTTCAAGACTCTGCAACAATTAATCGTCAATCTCCACCCATTTTTGTCTCCAATGACGATGAAACCTCTCAATCTTCAAATTCGACATCCCCATTAAAAATCAACAGTAACAAAGTGTTGTTCAAAAATTCAAGAAGAAAGATGGAAAAACCCAGAAAGAGGCAGAGAGGGAGTTTAGATAGTGAGAGTCTGGTTTTTCCTGAGAGTTATGGGCAAGAAATATCCAACAGCAGTGATACTTTACAAAGACGTTTATCTTGTACAAATTTAATGCAAGACAATAACAATGTATCTTCACCAGTCAATGGATACCATTCTCATTCTGAGTCTCCAAAATGTTTGGAAGACTACAATATACCTGCTCCTGAGGATCTATCTTTAAGATCACTAAACACAAGGCAGGACTCCATGACAAACGCACAGAGAAAAAATTGTTGGCATTCACCTAATGCAGTCGATCAAAATGGCAATCGTAATATGTCTTCGGTCAAATTCTTGGAGGACGTGATGAATAAACATTTGCCGAATCTGTCTCAACTCGCTAACCATGATATTAAGCCATCGTCGGCTATAATGAGTGATATTACAACAAATAACATTGTCTCAAACTCTCTGAACAGACAACAGTCCCCCAATCAGTGGGGAGGTTCAGAAACCGAATCACACCCTGCATCTAGTCTCTTACGAACTCTTCATGCAAAACGAGAATCAGTCATTCGCAGCAGTAATAATACGAGAACTTTTCCCATGGAGAGCTCAGCTATAAACATGCTGACTCCACCCGGTAATGATGGATTTAAGGAACAACTGACATTAAACATACCTCAGATTTCAGTGAGTGCTAAAGGTTCCGTTCTTCCTTCTTATTCCTCCGCTAGTCATCTGACTGTCTCCACGGCAACAGAGAACTTCAACATGACTCCCCCTTCATCAGTCTCACCCACAGAGAAACTGATTTCTCCGTTTGGAATGGAGGGAAACTTTGACCAAGGATCTAGCGCTTGCGGAAGCCTGAACCATGTCACGAGTCCTACAGTGACCTTGAAGTCTCAGACATTTCCTTTCACTGTGTCAACCACAGGGACGGACTTTAACTGTGTAAAAACAACAGGCTACAATAACATCTCCCCAGCTTATCATAACAATGAATACCCTCACCTTAGTCATTCACAGAATTCATTCTTGTCCTATGATGTGAGACCAGACACTTGGTACCCTGTGTCCTTTCAGTCCTAAGCAGGGAGTGTTCATTAATTTGGATGATAACTGCAGAAGAGTGTTCAGTATTCAAAAATATATAGCAATATTATGTTTTAAAAACAAAAAAATTGTTAATTAATGCTTTAATGTTGTTATTGTGTTCATATGTTGGGGTTGTTATGTGTCACTTGTTAGATAGTATACACTTCTATATTATTAAAAAAAAGAACAATTTATATTTCAGTCTTTGTATGAGTCTTGGAGTCATGTTATTGAGAATGTATTACTGCCAAAACCATGGGTAAATGCCAAAAAAATGAATGAATATTTTTTTAGCATGTTTATTTAATAAACATTTTACCTAAGATAACAACTTTTTATAAAATAAAAAGAAAAATTTACCATCAAACATATCTTTTTAACGACGAAGCCCGTTATGCAAAAATTATCCCAGGTTTCCAACTATCCTTGATATTTTCATTTTATGGTGAAATAAAATTGTAACTTCAAATTTTAAATAATGTAGACTAAAAAATTTAAATTACACGAAACCTCCTATGTCAATATCAATAGTGCCCACCCAGTAACATCAAACACAAGGACAGCTGCACAAGATTTACATGCACATTAGGCCTCCTTAGCTTGGCAAAAATTTACATGCCGGAAGAATGATCGAGGAATCAAATCAACTAACTTTCAAAGAGTTATCCCAGAGAAATAATTAAAATAAAAATTGAAATATATGCATGTAAATCTCATGCATCTGTCTTTGTGTCTGACACTAAGGAGGCCTAATATTTATATGCATGCAGATCTCATGCAGATGTCTCTGTTTTTGATGTCATTGGGCAGGGACTATTGAAATGGACAAGGGAGGCCTCATGTAATTTAAATCTATATGTCTACATTTCTTAAAATCTAAATTCGCAATTTTATTTCACGTGCAATGAAATGGAACTATAAGGAATCACTGTCTATATTAGTACAGTATGGCAGGGACATCAACAATACATGTAGCTGCATGTAAATGTGGGTTAATTTGTGCATAATGGGTGAAGCTCATTATGCATATTAATCCCACAAACGTTTCCAACTATTGTTGATGCCCTGGCATACTCCACTAACTTGACAGTGATTCGATCCTCAAATCATCTCTCTTATAGTCAGTTTTAGGGATGTGTAAGTATATGCACCCTTTTCAGTCACATGTCTACAGAATTCTGCATGTGACGTACAGATGCAAATCAGCCCATGCAGTGTGGCCTTTCAATCAAAAGTATATTTATCCCCTTTACCAAAGTATGATTTGACTGAGGTATTAATACCAAAGGGGGTAATTGATTTTTTTGATATATCCGCGGGTAGAAAATTACACGGATTTCTTAGAAAAATGTACTTCTACAGTAAGTTAATTAAGTTAGCAATCTTATTAAAATAAGATCTTTTACGCTCCTGTATTTTGTTATGTCGCTACTTAACAAAATACAGGTGCGTAAAGGATCTAATTTTAATAAATTGTAAAATCAGTTATAAAGTATAAATGGATAACATCAATGGCTTAAACATGCAGTTCTTAATCAACACAGACGACAGACTACTTTGGACTAATTTTGATTAGAAAAGGTCACAGCCTTTGGTTCCAGTGAGCTAATAGAACTCACATGTTCTGTGTTTAGCTGTGCTGCTGCATAAGTATCAGGTCAGGAGTCTTGCAGTGTTGCATCATGAGGCACCACCATGCTGCTTCAAACTTTTCAACTACAAAATAAAAAAAAAAGTCCAATAAAATGCATTAAGTAAACTATCAATTATTCTGCTTGACATAATTATTCTTTTCATTAATAAAAATAATCATATAGGCCTATATACATGATATATATTAAATTATTGATGAAATACATCTATTGAAACTTTTTAGACTTTTATCTTCTGCTGCTGGAATGCCGGATTTGGTTTTGTATTTTATAACATTTGTTTACGTTCCGTTGAAACGCATGGGTCCACAACTGGCACAAGCAGCGATGATTTAGCATAATTTGCATCAATTCCTCTCTAGTTTTTAATGAGACAATGAAATAATTATCGTAAATCTTGGAAATGGCGTCCCGACGGAAAGCAGATCTACTGGAGCCAGGGGAGATTTCAAGTGATGGCATTGACCGCCGATCTACCACAAGACATTTGGCATCACTGGCTGTGTCCGCAGCCTGTGGCTTTGTATTTGGATTTGCCATCGAAAAAGGGAAAGGTAAAAGAAAGGAGGATTCAGTTATTTTTGTAATGATTCCTCTTTATTGCAAAAAAATTCAATGTCCTGAAATGAACCAAGTCAAACCGAAAGTGAAAGTACATTCAGACATTATACATTAAAAAATGATACCTTCATAAAATTTTTATCACTCAGTTTTTAGAATTTCTGGTGCTATGCCTTAGTTCCTTGTATGATACATAAATATTAACAAATATCATTTGAAAAACACTTTTATATGGAAAAACAAGTATTATGTAAATATTTTTTTATGTATAAAAAATGGATTATCCTTTATATATGGTTTTGTTTTTCTCAATAAAAATATGTAACAATTGTACATTGAATGCAGATGAAAGAGTTTATTAAAAGTTCATCTATGATTCTATTAGTTCTATTAAGCAATGAATGTTACTTTTTCAGTTCATGAACCATTTGTTGTGAAAAATCAGATGCTGCTTTCTCAGTTTGTGATGATGAAAATGTTCCTCTCTGGAGTCATATCAGGTAAAACTATGCTAATACATGTTTACTTTCCAGCTCCTTCTTTTCCAATAAATTAATTCTGTATTAAATAACTGTTTAATTTATGCACTAAATTGTGTTAATTATTGACTTTTTTCAAAAATGGTTTTTCCAAAGAGTAAATTTGTCAAAATTGCATATATATATAAAAAAAAATTTCATGTTTATTCAATTTTCATTAAATATATATTTGTTTAATAGATTTATTGCTTAGGTAAGAGAAGCATTTTTAAACATCTATCCACAGGTACTTTTGTTTTTCCACCTTTAATGTTAAATAAATTGATTTTGATATGTGTGCAAACTCAACCTCTTTTTTGCCTTTTCATCCACAAAATAAAATAGTTTATTTTATTTTACTGTTTTATTTTACTGTAGGAATGTTCCTGTTGTCTGTGATGTCCATGCTCCCCTTCACCAGACAGCAGTATCTCTGTGCCAAGTCTGCTTTTGTGAGAGGCCTCAAAGGCAAGGGGTTCCTGGCTGTTTGTGTTGGCGGAGCCTTGTTAGGGTCAGGCATGGCCATTGCTGGAAGTGTAAGAATATTCATACAACTTTAAACTATATTTTTTTAAATATATTTGCACCGTTGGAACCTATGGGTTTTCTCTCCCATGGGTTTTGACGATGATGTAATTGGGGAGAATTTCAACCTTTTCATGAAAACTTTCTTTTTGTTCCCAGAGTTGAAAACATTTTAATTTCTGGAGATACATGTGTTACATGTATCACTCATTTCAGGATAAGAGTTAACAACTCAAAAAAAAATCTTTACAGTTTTATCTCTGACAAAATTTATTAGGAAAGATATCCGTAGTGTACAAGCATGATGCAAAATTTAAGACATTTGATTTATTGTTCCAATACTGAGAAGTATTAGTTTTGCTCAATTGCATTAAAGAGACACTGTGACAGCTATAGGCATTTTAGTTCAGAAAAAAAATTTCACCATAAAAACTAGAAAATTAAGTTTGAAGTAAAAATTGATTACAAGGAGCACATGGAGGATGTGACCAACTGCAGGAGATGCTCACTCCTTCTTGGCACCTGATCTCACCTCAATATTTTGGAGGCCCATGTATGCTGTGCTCCAGAATTTGTAATGTTTAATGGACTTTTGAGCATCAATACTGTTCATTACATAAAATACCAAGCTGTAAGATTTTGTTTTTTTGTTCAGTGTCCTGGAGTAGTCCTTGCTCAAGTTGGATCAGGAACTCAGAATTCAGGTATGCTCTAACTCTTTGGTGAAGTTATACCAAGTTGCCATTATATGTACAGGGAAAACTGTTTAATCCGACGCCAGTGTATTCCATCACACTGTGAAATCTGACATTAAATTTCTTTCCCATTTTAAACTTTTTCTCCATGGTTTTTTCTACATTTCAATCTGACACCATGTCTTTTTTGTAAATGCATCTGTCAGAGCATGTTGGATTAGACAGTTGTCACTGTATTTAATTTCCCTTTTACAGTGACTTACCAGTTTCATTTCTTTCCAGTATATACCCTTCTGGGAGCATTGTTTGGTACACTGCTGTATGGGATATTAGAACCAGTGGTCACAGATCTGACCAAACCTGAACAAGCAATAAGATATCAATTGTAAGTGAACAGCATTAAGATACCAATATTAATTATTATAGTGGATAGCTATGAGCTTTTCCTTTCCATAAAGTTATCTCCCTTTGTCAATGTTTCGCGTTTGGCACTGATCAGAAGCATATAATTTCACTCTGTACTAGAAAATAATGGACATTAAACTGGATTTTTAAAAATTCCTAAATCAATATAATGATGTACTGGTAATTTTAGCGGACTCTTCAAAGTTTGCTTTAACTGTTACTTCTACAACATTGACTCCTTTTGTGATTACAGTTTGTACAATGTTTATGGATCTCCATTCTTTGTGATGGCCTTGCCTACTGCAGCAATACTCTCATTGGTTGTTTTCACTTTGGAGCTCGCTTATCCTTGGGAAGAGGAAATCAGTGTAAAAAAATAGAATTACTTGATTGTGCTTTATAGTTAAAACATGCAAGTATTTTAAACACTTTGATTTTTTTCCATTTGCAGAATATTCATTATATAGTAGAGTAAATTACATTTAGATATCTAGATATTAAGAGAAAGAGAAGATAAGAGAAAATTTTCTTATATCCATGGATTTAATTTGTCTTTAACTTTTTTTAAAATGGTAGATTACAGATTCTGTCTATGAATCAAGTAGCTGGATTGCCTCCCCTGCCTGGCCTCCATATTTGTCTGGTGTTGTTGTGGGGACCTTACAAATTCCTCTTGTTCTGTTTGTTGGTGACACTTTAGGTGAGTTAGTGTACTTCAGAAGCTTGAGGCTAAGCATTTCAAAAATAAAATTTGTTTTGAATTAACAGAAACATTAATCAATTAAATTACCGGATCATAAGAATATCTGGAGGTATGTAGAAGGAATGCTCGTTTGAACTGAAAATATTACAATTGCACAAATAGCTTGGACATGTCTGAGTATACAATTTCAGCTATTCACTTCAAAATTATGGAAAGCTTTGATATATGGAACAATATTTAAGTGTATCTGCTCTTCAGTTATGATAAATAATCTCATTTATAATTTTTCCTCTTTCAGGTGCCAGCAGTAGTTTCTGTACAATCACCTCCCAGGTTTTCCTTCACAAGTCTTCAAAGAGATTGTCTCCATATCTCCTCAAATTCCAAACAGGCTTTTCTAACTGGTGGCAGGTATTTATCCAGCTATAGAAGAAATGATAGCAAATTACATTGAAAGTCTGCTTTTAATGAAGCACTTTTATGACATGGCATTAGGCCATCTTTATAAGAAAGTTATTTGCCAAATTGGGAAAAAAAAAAAAAGACGTCATTAGGTGTGAAATTTTTTTCCAGAAATTTTCAACATACCTGTTGAGAGGATGAGGAAATTCTGGGAAAAAAAGAATTTAAAAAAACAAGAGGCCCAAGGGCCTTATAGGTCACCTGAGTATCATGCAACAACTTTCCAACAAATTAAATTTGATTCATGTTTTAAACCAGAGGCCATGGAATTCTGACACAATTTTGAAAGAGGCACCATTTAAGTTTTATTTCATAATGTTGTTGATTAATACCAAAGTGCAGCTTTCAAAGTATTAAATAATTTTCAGATTATGTACCCCCCCCCCCCCCCCAAGCACCTCTGTCCCAGGGGCCAGTAAAATAACCGTTTTTGAAAGAAGCAGCTTTCTTTGTCATAAATATATACTACGATCATTGGCATAATACCCAAGAAAAAAGGAAAACATTTTCAAAGAATTCATGCATTTTAATTAAATAAACATTAGAGCCCCACCTAACACAAGAAGCCCTGACCCAGGGGCTCTGAAATTCACAAATCTCAAAGAGGCATCCTTCCTTCTCATAACTATGTACATAGTTCATTGGTTAAATACCCAGGTGTAGAAAAAAAGATTTCTAGAGAATTTATGCATTTTCACTATATAATCAAAAAAGCCCCACCCTAACACCAGAACCCCTAACCCAGGGGTCATGAAATTCACAAATTTGGAAGAGGCAGCCTTATTCAACATAACTACATACTTGGTTAGTTTATTTAATACTCAGGAGCAAAGAAGAAGATTTTCAAAGAAATAAATCATTTTTACTATATAATCTATATAGCCCCGCCCTAGCACTAGAGCCCCTGACCCTGGGGCCATGAAATTCACAATTTTGGAAGAGGCAGTCTTATTCAACATAGCTATGTACTTAGTTAGTTTATTTAATCCCCACGAACAGAGAAGAAGGATTTCAAAGAATTTTTGCATTTTCACTATATAATCTATATAGCCCCGCCCTAGCACTAGAGCCCCTGACCCTGGGGCCATAACATTCAAAATTTTGGAAGAGGCAGTCTTATTCAACATAGCTATGTACTTAGTTAGTTTATTTAATTCCCACGAACAGAGAAGAAGAATTTCAAAGAATTTTTGCATTTTCACTATATAATCTATATAGCCCCGCCCTGCCACTAGAACCCCTGATCCTAGGGCCATTAGATTCACAATTTTAGAAGAGGCAGTCTTATTCAACATAGCTATGCACTTTGTTAGTTTATTTAATGCCCACAAACAGAAAAGAAGACGTTCAAAGAATTTTTTCATTTTCACTATATAATCTATATAGCCCCGCCCTAGCACTAAAACCCCTTGCCCTGGGGCCATGAAATTCACAATTTTGGAAGAGGCAGTCATTTACAACTCAACTATGCACTTGGTTAGTTTATTTAATGCCAAGGAGCAGAAAAGAAGAATTTCAAAGAAATAATGCATTTTCACTATATAACCTATTTAGCCCCGCCCTAGTACTAGAACCCCTGACCCTGGGGCCATGAATTTCACAATTTTGGTAGAGGACTCAATGCTGATTACAATCATACTAACAGTTTGACTGCTTGATGTCCAGGAGTAAAGAAGAAGATTTTTAAAGATTGCACTAATTTTAGTGGTTTTTGCCCCCCCCAGGCCCCATGGGGGCAGGGACCACGAAATTCACAATTTTTGTTCCCCTTCTCCCATAGATGCTCTATGCCAAATTTGGTTAAAATTGGTTCAGTGGTTTCAGAGAAGAAGCTGAAAATGTTCAAATGTTAACGCACGACAGACGACGGACGACGACGGACAAAAACAGATAGCAATAGGTCACCTGAGTTTACTCAGGTGACCTAAAAATTGTTTCTTGCAGGTTAAAAAAGTTTGGAGTTGGCCCCTGTTTGTAGTCAGTCAGTAGGGAGAGGGCAAACAATTTTTTTTTAACAAGATGGCCTTACAAACCAATATGTAACAATGAACAGACTTCTGTAAATACTTTTTAAAAAAATCTACAATGTGCTTACAGTTTTCAGTAATTCTTCCTTGTCTTTCCACAGGTAACATTCATGTCAGGCTCTGTATTTGGGGCTTTCTCTTCCTCCATACTCTCAGGCAGCTATGGGACGGTCACTGGGGGATCTGTCACTCAGTCGTTTGTTGGAGGAGCTATGATTATATTTGGGGCACGATTAGCGGGAGGATGCACAAGGTGGGTTATTTACACAATCAGTTAATGGAGAAGAAAAAAATTCCATTTATTAAAGTAAACCAACAATTGTTTATTAGGTTACAGATTGTTGTGTGAATAACAATTGTATAGTGTACCCGGTATATAGTTTTTGCTTCTTGCTGTTTTCACCCTATTACAATCAATCATTCCAGACACAGCATAGTTGAATATTAAAAGAAATCTTCATCTCTTGAAATCACCCCCTTAAGGAATTTGCTCCTTAAGGGAAAGGGGCAAAAATGTTTAATAAAATGGGGCAAAATATTTTCAGTACATGTATCAGTGAGTTTTTGATGGTTGATCCATTATACATGTAAAGTATGGATTATTTTTATATACTGTCAAATGATCTTCTATTTTTATTTTTTTACAAAGATATAATTATTGAAATTCTTTATATTATAACATTTTCTTTGTTTTACAGTGGACATGGGTTGTCTGGGATGGGTTTGTTAAATCTGCTGTCTATCAGTACAATGGCGGCCATGTTTGTTGGAGGAGCCCTTACCGCCCAGATACTGCAGTGGATTGGTTAGAATATTAAACCAAATACATTGTATGTTGTTGACAGACATTTAACATTATAATTGTCTAACGGTACAATCGCAGCATTGTTTGTTACTGCCCATGTCCTGCATTAGATCGTTGGTTAAGGAGAATAAGCCAAATTAATACATTTTTTAAATGTTGTTGACGATGTTTGACATTTACTTATACTGTTTTTTTTTTTTTCATTGTTATTCAATTGTTTATTATTCTTACTTACTTTTATATATTGTACTAATTTTGAATAAGATTAAAAAGTTTGAGAAAAAAATGGTGTTTGCTGACATTATTATACAGATTAACTTGACCTTCTGTTTCTCAAAAAACATTGTCTAAAGAACTATATGCGGTATTAACCAACATTTGCCCCCCAAAATCAAACTTTGATGGAGTAATATTTAATTAAGTCCTTAAACAGTGTGTATATGCTGACTTCAAAGCACTGAATAATTTCATAAGTAATGACGTCATATGTACGTAATGACGTCACAAATATGAAAATTTCAGTTTTTTATGAATTTTGCAGAAAAATGTACATATTTCGTCGATATTTTAAATAAAAGCAAAATGTGTGTTCAGGATAGATATTTTGATATAATGTGTAGAATGATAATATCAATGAAATATGTCAATATTGTTCCTATACATATGCGCTCTATAAATTTTAAAGCTTAAATTGTTGAAATTTTGTCCATTTTGTCCTCTTTCTGAAAAAGGATATAAAATCGGACTAGTTTGACGTCATAAAAACAGAAATTGTGAATACACTGCTCTGGAACTATAATATTTTCTGTTAAATATTTCTCGTACAATTTATTGAATTCAGCACATTTCAGAAAGTTTTCAAAATTTGACTTTTGTGGGGGCAAACATATGCAATATACCGCATATAGTTCTTTAATTAAATTATGATTTCCATGGCATGGATAAGAAGTTGGTTTGAAGTTGCAACTTTTTCTTAATGTATATTAACCCCAATATCTTGAACCCTTCATATCTCTAAATTCCTCTACTGTACATAATCTAAACTGATTTTGTTTGATTGAAGCAGAAGTTTAAAGGATTAAATATGTTTTGTTTCATTGTTTTTATACCAAATTTGACCATGGAAAGTTTCACCTTCCTGATCAATACACAGGGCTCATGGGGGGTGGGGTGTTTGGTCAACAGGGGATGTTTACTCATCTTGGGCACCTGATCCCATATCTAGAATTTCCAGGTGTCTGTGTTTTATGCCTTTTTCACATTCTTTTAAATTTCACCTATATTTCATTGATCCTTGCCTTTCTTAAAATGGCTTTTATAAAAAAATACTCATGGATATAAAAAAAAACTCTTTGTTAAAAACATGTATTAGGCACCACAATTTTGAATTGCCATAATAAGGACCAGTCTTAAGAAATATTTACTTTTATTACTTACTTACAAGTACTGTGAAATCACAAATTTTCATGGGACTGGTTTAATTTCCATGGTTTTCAAGGTATGAAGAGACCCACGGATTTATGTCTACCATGAAATGCAATTTTTCACATATATTACTACTGAAAAATTCTTCATCCTTGAAATTAAATCCTATGAACATATACTTTTTTCTCAAACCACGAAATTTGCCCCCACGAAAATATGCGATTTTACATTTCTGTAGATTTCTAAACTTATTTTTTTGCAGGATTTAAAATTTCTCTAATTTTTGTTTTGCCAAAATACATGTTAGCCTCTTGATCAACAATTCACTTGCAGATCCATGTTCTTGCAATTTGACATACATGTAGATGCGCTATATGAGTCTTGAAATCAAGTACTTAATTAATTGAAATATAAGAAGACAACAAACAGTATTCAAGCTGAAAAATCCATAAAATAATACAAAATAGGAGCAGAGCAAACAAGAACCTCCAGAACATCAGAGGTGGGATCAGGTGCCATGGAGGAGTGCACATCCCCTGCTGACCTGCCACACCCACTTTGTGCTCCATATCATGATCAGGAAATAACAGAAAAATCTGTTATCAATTTCAGTGTGTAAATGATGGCCTTATAATTAGTACAGTCAGCATTCGACTCAATAAAAAATTGTATTTTTAAAAGAATATACCATATACTTGCTTACACTGGGTAAATTTTGATCAGAAAAGCTCATTTCTTTGACAAAAACCAAGAAAGAGAAGATTATCATATATATATCTAACTCTTTCTAAATAGTTTTACATAAGTGAGTACATGCATGCATTAATGACTTGACAGTCAATAAAACTTACCAATAAATAGCAATAAAATTCTAAAATATTAAAACATTAACTTTCACTTAGTGTTTTATATTATACTATCATAAGCTGTATATCCATTGTGTTTTTTTGACAGGAATGCAATCTTACGATTTTTTGCATTAATTTATTTACAGAATGTATTTACATGCAGTTCATGTAATTTTTTTTTTTTCAAATTTCCTAAACAGCATCAACTACCTGTAATCTCCATTCCTTCTGATCATTCATTACTATGAGGAATTAGAAATGAAAGTTTAAGTTTTCCTCCTCTAAAATTCCCTTTAAAGGTGGACTTTGATAGTATCTTAAGGTAATTTTTCTTGTTTTCACCAAAAATACATTTTTCTCACCATTTATACGAATCCACTAATAATATTAAGAAAATCATATGATACAAAATTACAGTCCATGTTCAGTCCATGTAAAGGATGACTGCACTTAATGCCGGTTTTTGGGTCTTTTTCAATCCCTGTTGTCACATTTATTTTTGTTTTTATTTTTGCCTTAAGTCATTTGTTATAGAGTTTGGTCTATTTCCAAATTAAATGCGATGTTAAATTGGGTATAAACTGCATTGCAATAAAATAATTTGTTGTTTTCTTACCCCATCTCTCTGCAAATATCGGGAAATTAGACTTATCTGCCCTTGATTGAAGATAAGATTGATAAATATGCATAAAAGGTGGAGCTAATATTGTAATAAGTGGTCTAAAATTAGAACAGTTACTGTATTTATATTTAGTGCATCTCCCTCTCTGTCTCTCTCTCTCTCGTCATATGTTTGTCACTATTATTTTTTAAGTTTTCAAATAAAGTATATAACTAATAACAAATAACATCGCAATGAAGCCATTGATAATCAACAGCAATGGCTGATGTCAACAATTCGTGTGTTTGAATATAAGTACCAACTAGCTCAGTTGGTAATGCACAGAATCAATAATAGTGAGGTCTGGGATCGAGACCCGCTATCAACAGTAAGACGTACTTTGTTTTTCCCTTTTTATAAAAAAAAAGAAAGAAAAACATCACAATTACTTAAGTTTTTTTATTTTCTTTTATAATTACTTTTCCCCATAAATTAGCATGCTGAGGATGGTATGATTTCATTTTTATTTACTGGATCTTATTTTGGATGTTCATGTTAAGCAATGGTTCAAAACATAATATTAAAATAAATCTCTTTTTTTCTTGTAGACTACGAACATGTAGAGACATATAATACACTCAAAAATATATAAATATAGTAAATTGAAACACTTTTGAGATAAATATATTAGAATAATCTTATAGATATCTAAGAGAAAAAAGAATTGCCTGTGGCTCGATGGGAATGGATTGAAACAGATATGGACAATCACTATCGACCAGCAGAATGCGTGTTTCCTTACACGTCACGTGATGGAATTTTAGTATTCACAGAGTTACCTGGGTATAGAAATCACATGGTTAATTATAATATTCAACAGGTAACAACGTAGTCAAAATGGCCTGTTTACTATACAGAAAGTGAACACACGAAGAAACTGTTTTTTCTCTTTTTAACCATGAGCGCATGGTTGTCTACTGATCTCCTTTAAATATGAGGTAATATGTATATAAATATACAACCTCCATAAAAAGGAGAACAATAGACAAACATGCGCTGACTATGTATTAAGCCTATCAAAAGGTGGGCGTACTCATTATCCTATGGAGATTCCAGAATATGCTATGACCCCTCCCTATTAAGACGACTTCGAACTTCGTTAATACTTTTAATTAACGTAATTACACAAAGTTGCAGTTAAGACATTGGCCATTTCTATCATTAAAAGAAAAATGCCAATTTTTAAAATTAATTATGTCGCAATTTCTAAGTTTCCTTAAGTGCAGTCATCCTTTGTGATGTCAGACAATATGAATGTGTGTCCTCTTAACCAAAGTGTCTTCAGAAGTTTATCTACATTTAATATAAATGTAGATACTTCAAATTAACAAATTCAAAAAGTACTACCTATTAAAATTAGAAATAGCATCAAATTTTAGTACTAATTATAAGTATATTAAGCAGGAGAAAAATGTTTTATGTACATGTATATGCATTGTAAATGTCCATTAAATGTGTATAACCACTTTATAACATCAAATGCCTGATGATTTTAAACTAATTCTGACATAATGTTAGAATAAATAATGCTGCCACAGAGACCCTCAGTTTAAAAAAAAAAATAAAACCATAAAACTAAAAGTCTACCAAAAACAAATTCCCTAAAATATGACGAAAAATAATTAAAGAGATCTAAACAGCAATGCTTCTTAAAATACAAGTTAGTCACCTTGTGTTTTTAAAAAACTATCACTAAAAACATCATTAACATAAAATCTAAAAAAAAAATTTTGACAAAATGAGGATGAACTAGGAGTCCATGCTTCGTATGTATGGGTGTGAACTGCAGCCTAAGCCCTGTCGTTTTGGCCGTCGGAAAGATTGTGTTACCATTTCTGACCCCAGTCCGTTCCCGGGGACCCACCCCATGTCTTGTAGCATCCGATTTCCTATATTACTCTCTGGTATAGGGTCAGCATTACCTCCAACTACACCTGTAAAATTAATAATAAGACAATAAATCTGACAGTTTCTTTATATTTACCATTTGATTTTTTCTGAGAGAAGAAGTGAACATAGTCATCAAAAGGAATGTGCATGGAAAATAATTATAACATTTTAATATAATTTTTTGTGTTATCTCAAAACAAGGAAAATCAGTTGATAGATAAAAACTGATTTGAAGATGCTCGAATTACATGTAATATTTATACAAATCAGTGATTTCAACAGAAAATTTTTACTGCTGGAGGGTGGGGGTGGGGGTTGAACTGAAGGTGTTTGGCACATATGTAATGATTTAGATTAACATGTTACAACTCGTACCTTCCTCTATGGGACTTTGTAGGGGTGGAGTTTTGCGGAATCTCTTCTGATCTCCATTTCCATTCGATTTAAAACCAGAGGGAAATCCCTGTATATCGTTCCATTTCTGCCTCTCTTTCAGGAAGCGAGAAAGGGTGTATTTTGGTTCCTGTGGTTTAAATGATTAGGTATAGGGTTTTAGCAAAGCCTCTGTTTATCAAAGCAGGATGGATGCATGTACAAATGCTTGTTATCACATATTTACCACATAGACCACCAATGTCAAACACAAAGGAACCAGCTCAAAATAAAGGTAATAGCATATTTTAACCTTTCTAAAACAACCAACCAGCAAGATTTTGCAAGAAAAGAAAAACTATAAATAACAAGTATATACAAGTTTCTAATTTCTAACTTATTCAGCTTTCATTCTGTTACTATTATGGAGGAATTAAATATTTTGATTAAATATTTTGCTGCAAATTCAATTAAAAGAAGAACAGTCTTTTAAAAAGATACTAGTAATTTATACCTTCTCTTTTAATTTTCTTCTTCCAAATCTGATTGGTCTTCCAGTCTATATAAATATGAAAAATAAACAAAATATACAAAGTCATACACTTTTTACATCATAAACAAACAAAATGATAATACTGAATCACATATACACACACAAAACTGGAGCAGAGTAATGAATTGTCAAGGGAAATAACTCCTTCAAGAATTTTAAGCTCAACATGCAATTTGTTGTGTTGACTTATCTTGTGAAGTTACAAACTTAATTTGAAAACTATTCCTCTTATTATTACATGTATTATTAATCAGCCACTTTGCCTCTCTTATTAATTTTTAAAAACTTAATTCAAAATAGTAATAGAAAAATATAAACATACTTTTTTCTGTAGGAAATTAAATGGATTTCTTAAATGGCCACATTAATTTCTGTGGAAAATTTGTGACTACAACATATAAATTAAAACCAAGTACGCAAATGCAAAAAAAGTTACTTATACATTACCTTAGCCATCATTCTTGTGACTCTGGCTCTGAATGCTAGCTGTGAAGATTTTGGTATGTGTTCAAAGGAGCCAGTCAATATCTGTTGGAACTTCTGTCGCTCCGATTCAGATTCTATGTCCTCTGAATCATTCTCCCACCATCTTATGATGCCAGGAATTCCACAGGCTGGTCCCGACTCATAGTAAAAGTCACTATGCTCGTCATCAGCTGAAAGAGAAAGTAAGTCAGTGGTTAAAGAGGGCTTCCTTTCTTAAAGGAATAAAATGTCTCAAAACAAAGTTGTGAAAATTATTGTACTTAAAATAATAATTAATCTGACTACACAAGAAAAAAAAATGTATGTCATTTCTTCCTAAAACACTTAATTATCAATGCAATTTTTTGTCAATTAAACTCTAGCTTAGAAGTATTTCTTTGGTGTATGCTTGTTCAAATTCATCAAATTTGCTACACTGTAACACATTATCAAAGCAAAGTTAAAAAAAAAAAAGAGAGATAAACTTTAAAACAATTATTTACAGATATTGTTTTGTGTATAATCATGATAATAGAGAGAAAAAATTTTTAATTCTTTCTTCTAAGTATAAATTGTTTAATGGAAAACTTTTTATCTGTATTACCATGATTACTGTTTGAAAAATATAATCCCCTTGTCCTCTTTTAGATAAATAAAACTGGTCAATGTAGCAGTATTTGATCAAATGCAAATACCCTAAAGTTTGTTTCTTTTTTTTGCCTACTGATACTGACCTTCCCGAGCTTCATCATTTGTGAGGAGTCCATCACTCTCACTACTACTCAGTCCAGAGCTGCTCTCTCTGTCAAAATCAACTTAGGCTTAGGATAAATTCATAGAGAAAAAAAACTATCAGGAGGATATTCATGTAAGGCTCAGTAATGAGTATCAAGTATTTGAAGGAAACTTTTGTCATAAACAAGTTTATTCTATGTAAAATACTTAATATCTCCAAGGTATTCTGACTGAATACAAAATTTAGATTAAACTTACACATTTTGAGTTCATGCACTTACATATTGCTTCCTGTTTCCATGGAATTCTGGTCATTGCTATTTTTAGACTGATCAAAGCTCGTCAAATATTCAGCTCTTGACTTGGAGCTTCTTTTCCTTTTCCCAGGATGCACTTCTTCTTCTACCCCAAACATGACATCGTTTGTCTTCATATTTGACATGCACCTGATTTTGTGAGTTTTGGATTTGTGATCGGTAATTCCTAATGGTGGTTTCATGCAACATGTCTCTGATTCTGAATCTGTTGCCATGGCTTTATACTTTTTTCTTCGCCTCTGAGGTCGTAACGGTGATATAATACTTTCATTCACAGAATCCGATTCAACACTCTGCATAAAGTTTGAATTCAAAGGCATAGAAAGTCTTGTTATTTTTCCTATATCATCATCTGAGTCACTCTTTCGGGTAAAATTTTCAAAATAATCTCTAAGGGCTTCGTCATAACTACTCGCTGATGTCTCACTCATGTTTCCACAGTCCAATAAAAGTGTTCTACGTTTCTTTCCTTTTCGTTTTTTATAAGGTCTTTTAGTAGTCACTGAATGATTAGAGTTCTTAACTGGTGAAGTTGATTCTTCCAATGCATTTGCAAGATCTTGAACCAATTCATCCATACTCACCAGACGCGAGTTTGAATACACTCGGAGATTTTGAAACTGTCGGACAATATTATGATGATCCATTTGTAACCTTTTTCGGCATCTGAAAAACAGTCATTTAATCAAGCAATTTTTCAATAATTGTCAGAGCAGACAAATGTAGCATTTTCCTTCTACTCTTTTTACATATTCTATAGGTGTACATATTTAATTAAACTAAGACTCAAAGAGATTATGTTGGAGTAGAGAAAGTCTGTTGTTCAGTGTAAACTCAGCTTCAACTGTTACTGATAATTACAACGATTTTGCGTACATTTAAAAACCACATTTCTGTTACTGATTTTTGTTATGATATATTTCTAAAGACAAATGAGAGGGAAAATTGCAAAAAAAATGACTGTCAATATTGGATTCGGTTATGTTATAAAACCGACATTTTTTGTGGTTGATCGCTCTTAAACGTATTCCAACAGAAGAAATGAACAAAAATGTAAAGTCAGAAAAGAAAATTTGACACAAACCTGTAAAATATTTAAGAATAAAACTAAGAATCAAGTTGTGGTTTCGTTATCGATCGCCATTTTCCAGCTGATGTTCTAAACTTCCTGTTTTGTTATTACATTGCAATTACGCATAATTATAAATTTCATACAATGCGTTGCTAGTCTGCGTTAAATTTTTACCTAATTTAGTTATTTAAGTGGATCTGTGCAATACAATTCATTCACCTCACCTTCAATAGTATTAAAAATAATCAGTTAAATTGTAAAATCATTTTTCTCAAGAAAAAAAAAATTCTGCGTTGCGCGAAACCAGGTCAGTCCCTTAACTGGTTCCCAGGAGCACTAGTTTACGCGCAGAAGGAAAGAGAAGAAGTCGAAGGATGGCTGCTCCAAAAGGAAAAGGTTTTATGGGTCATGGACCGAATACCATCGACCAGAAGTTTGCTGAAAGACTATTTAAACATAGTCGTGAAAGGTTATTTGCTATTTATTGTTTAATCAAGATCAATATTTCGTATTTTCACCAGAACTTTTACGTTGCTAAGGAAAACATTATAACGAGATGCACTGAGTGAAACTCACACTGATTTTCTTCTGATTGACATGTGTTGTTTTAACTATTAAAGACAGTTTTAGATAATTTAGGAAAAAAGTTCCAGTGTAATATATCGGCTTTTTCATTTATTTTCTTCATTCTTGAGATTGTATAAAAAGGCCTATAGGCAGTAGTGTTGCACTGCAAAACATATATTTCAGTCTGGAATTCACACATAAAATTCTAAGTGCAATTTGAAGTATTAATTTTATAAGCATGCACCACAGGCACTTGTTTCGTATGCTTATTTTTACCACACGGTACCTAATTCAATTTCAGGCACCCCTGCTTCAAGCTCGTATTTTGTTTATATATATTAATCATTAACCTACTTAAAAATGACATCGTTGGCTTCAAGATACTTTTTCCTTGTCATTTAAATCATTTCAGAAGTCTCTGGTCAAGCCTCTTTATTGAAAACCATTAATTCACTGCTTAAAAATTACCTTGATACTTTTTAAGTAAGAGATTGGATAAGATACATCTATTTCTGGTTGGGGGTTATAGATGTAGGATAATACCAGAGACTTTGGAGTACTCCATTCTGAGGTCTCTGGAGCTTGAAGTGGGGGTGCCTGAAATTGAGTTAGGTACCTTGTGGTAAGAATAAGGAGGTGGTGCCCCATATCCCAAACAAGTGCCTGTGGCATACACTCCAGATCTAAATGCAAAATGAAATTAAGAATATACCACAATAGAAGAATTGTCTTGATAAAAAATGGAATGCTTAAATCAATGTTTGATACTCGATCATCATGAAATTAGATAGACAATCAGGGCTGATTGTCACTAAAAGTCAACTCTAACTCTGCCTAACATTTACTAGCTCAAGAAAAGTATATTTTTCATTTTGTTTTTTAACTTATGTAAAACCATAAATTATAACATTTGTGGTCAGACTTAACAGGTATAAAAAAAGTTGGCAAAATAGTATTGAATTCCTTTCTTTTTAAAAACTGTTTTAACTTTTTAAAGTTTTCATCATTAACCGCCCCTCTTAAACAGAAAATAGTGGACCTGTCACACCTTGCTTCTTGTTTGTCATCATAATCTAAATATGTTAAATGATGAAAATGCAACTTTTAATAACTTACTGCTTTTTTCCGCTTATTTAGAGTTCCAGAGTATTCACGGCTTCATCCTGTTGTTCCACGCTTGTACACACAAGAATGGAAGACTGACATGAAAAATAGAGATCTTATTGTCAAGGTAGAAAAATTAAATATTCATGAATCTTAATGAAGGAGACATTTACATAATGTTTTCTGTTTAGTTAATCAGAAAATTTCATTAATTTGAAACTTGCACATTTGTAATAATTTTAAGGTAGTCCAATCCTCAGGTTTGTAAAATTAGCAGTTAAGTAATCAAAAGTACTCGTAAAAGTATCTCTGAATCCACAAAGTTATGTAAATTTATCCACGGTGTTTCTTTAAAGTTCAAGATTAAATTTAATCATATTAAATATATTCAGGCATTCGGAGAAATTGTCATGCTTTTTATACTTATTTGGTATTTTTTGTATTCTATTTCCGTCATGTATTCTATAATACATAGTGTAAAAGGATTTTGCTATCATTGCAAGACACCACAAATCACTTCTTATTTCATATCATACTAAAAATCATTGGTAACTAAGGCTGGATTCTAGCTAGAAAATCTTATTTTTCTAAAACTGTATTAATTTTTTTTCCTTTGATAGGGTACAAATGTCAACTTTTATAGGACCTTTTCTAAGACTTCCAAAAACCTTGAATCTTATAAAGATGAATATAATGAAAATTGTTGCATGAAAAAAAATCATTTTCAAGCTTCATTTTGATGCATTTCAAATTAATTATGTATTTTTGGAGTTATCCTTCCTTGCTGAGGATCGGATATCCTTAAGACATGTACTATGAAATATGGTGATAATATTTAAAAGTATTCAAGCTCGAATTCAAATTAAACAATACAAATCAAGAGCAGAGCAAAAACGGACCTCCAAAAGCAAAGAGGTGGGATCAGGTGCCATGAAAGAGAAAGCCTCCTCTGCTGAATTGTCACTGGTGCTCCTCATAATGATCGAGAAAAAAAAATAGGAAAAATCTGTTGACAATTCAGTGTGTAAAGAATGGTCTAAACAATTAATGGAAAATACCAGTCAGCATTTGACTTAATGATAGATTGTTTTTGCTGACAAGATCACTTTATAGACCATAAAACTTGTGAAATGACGTCAAACATGACTTGATATCCTTGTTTCATCAACTTGTTTGTCAATAGCGTGCCTTATATTAGGAATTATTCATATGCAGGGCATGCTCTTGTAATCTTGCCCTTAATGTCCTCATAAATGATGTTATAATCTTTATAAAAATATTAAAAATATACTTTATCTCTGACAGAATGCAGAGCTAGGAGGTATTCCTCATTATGAACATGATGAGAATCTATTTCTGGACAAGCGGGAACAAATGCATTACAATGTGGAGGATCGCACTAGGGTCGAATCCAAGTATCCCCATATGGATAGAGTCACACTTCTCCGGCCAAACTTCCATCACGAGACCTCCAAATACCAGAGCGAACTGATGTTCCGCAGAGATGAAGATTACGTGGAAACTTCGTAAATGATCTGCCGATTCACAATATTGTTCGATTTTTCAATTGTATACACATTTATTGAGAGCCACTTATTTTATTTATTAATTTTGTTTTAATTGTAAATATTAGATGCATCATGAGTAAAATTTTATTTAGTAGAAATTTTATTTTTTGCCAATGCTGGGTTTTGGTGCTTGTCTAGTCTTAGAATCTACACAGCCACCCAAAAATGTGAAGCTGGTGTCGATATAACAATCATATCAGTTTAGAGTATTAAAACTAACAGTAGGGTAACTGTAAAAATAATATGGTTTGAATCATGTTTGCTTACAATCAGTTATTGCTTAGACTTTGATGGTACGTTTCACAAGTTTATGTCTTGCATTTCAGTATTAGTTGTTATCATTTATTTAATGACAAAAATAGTAGCCTATATCAGTATTCCATTGTTATTTTGAAGTGCTCAATATAATTTTTTTTTTCACTAATTTTTATGGAAAATGGATTGTTGCAGTAACTTTAAGTTTTAATAAATATAAAATATTTCAACAAACTATTTTGTATATCTACATGTAGAATGTTTATGTTTGTTTTTGCTGTGATATTGTTTAACATATATATGTTTACATATGTTTTAAGTTCAGTATTACTGTTCAATTTTTACAGAGCTTTTATTTCTATTGCTGTGTATTGTCAAACTAATTTTTAAGTTTAAGTTTAAAGCTTGATTGGTGTCTAATATTTTGGAGAAGAAAATTCTTTTACTTGTTTTTTAACAAACAGCCTGTTTGGAACATACTATATATGTTTGGCTTTATATGGAGAAATTTTCTAATTCGTAAAATAGAATACCCGGTAATTTTTCTACAGTTCTCTTAACTTTTTAAAACTTTTAAAATTCAATATGCTGAAAATATTTGTGTTTGTTTGAAACAAGCCAAGAGAGCAAACAGGCATCTCACAAACTGTCTTTCAATTTTTGGATTTTCGGGTTTTATAGACTCTTTTCCCTTTCATTTTAACCGATTTCTATTTTTGATATGTTTTGATCCTTTTCTTAGATACGTTCATTTGTTACGTCATCTCTCGTATACAAGTGCTCAATGGCAATAAATGTTTAAGCACAAAAAATATTTTCAAGTTCTTTATCTGTATACCGTTTTGAGATTTGGGGTCTTTAAAAACTAAATGGTCGTAAAATGCCGTCAAACAAGTTGATTCCTTCCCATTGGTAATCTATTTGACAGTGTTGTATGCCATTATACGTCTTTTGAAAGCAGTAAACAGAGAGAAAAGTTTAATATTAATACCCCATCTTGGAAAATGCAAAATAAAATATTTATGGACCATGATTCTTAACCTTAAAGATAGTCAGAAATAAAGGGACAATGTGTGTTAAAGAAAACAGAGGCACTGCAAAAAGGAGCAGCCTCTCTCAAAGAGTATATAAATCCAGACAGCAACTGAGATTGATCCCAATGTAAATTATGTCACTGCCATAATGTACAAGGACAAACTACATGTAGTACACATGCACATGCATGTTACTTAATGTATGCCCCCTTCAATGTGAGTGGAAAAGAATAAGTTGATCCTTTTACATTTAGGAATAACTTGCATCTAAGTGGCAAATACAAGATACATGTATTATTCAGATAATTCTGCAGCTTTTAGTTCCTTTTGGAATGATCATATGAATACACCTCCGAGAGACACTGATTACTTTTATCCAGGGAGGCAATTTACATGTCGATGTATACAGATTAAAAACCACAAAGCAAATTGAAGACAATTCATTTATTTTGAACATTCTGGCTGGTACATGACTATTCATGTCTTGGAGTCTTCTAACAAAGTTAATTTCCATTTAATGTCTTTGTGTAATGGAGGTGCACTTTTAATTATGGGATCTGAAAAAAAAATTTACAAAAAGCTAAAGTGTTTAAATAATGTATGCATTAATAATTGTGATATGGCAGAGTTTTTATGGTCCAGCATAAATATGAGTGTAACCCACAATTAAAAAGTATTTCTACAATAATTTTCCATCACGAAAAAAAAATAGAGTCAGCAATGAGAGGTGAAGTTGAGAAGCATACCTAGTTTTTCCTTTGTGGATAAGGTTTGTCCTTTCTGTACTGCCTGGGCAATAGTGTTGGCCGTGGCATGAGGACCAAGGACCTGTATAAACAAGATCACAAGCATACATGTATGTGTAGAAGTTAAAATTTATAAAGCATAGAACACTGTTAAAATAAATAGTGGAAACAAACAAGTAGATGTATTCAACACACAGATTTCTAATTGACACATAATCCACACCCCTTACAAGGCTTAGCATTAAAGAATTCTGACAGCAGTGCTTCGTGTTCCTTTATTCAACAATGGGGACATTGATATTATACAATATACATAGCTGTATAGCACAACTGGATTACTAAATGTTAACACATTAAAGCTCTAGAAGACAACTCACCAATGACTCCTCCTCTTCTTCAGCTTCATCCAACCAAATTGAGGGAATTGAGCTGTCAATCAAAGTCAGGAAACTCCCAAATGTCTGCTGCAGTTTGCCAGCCTCTTTGTCAGAATTAAACTGAACCAAGACTTTTACTAATTCTTTTACCTCATCTAAAGTTAGAGAGATACTTAGCACATATGAAGAAAATTTTGATTAATTTTAAAACATGTACTGTTTAAAATTCTGTTATTTAAAATTGCTGATCAGTATCAAGTAATAAAAAGAAATTTATTAGAATTATTTCAATAAAACTCTTCATGCATGGTCCACCAGCAATAAAGCTTATTTTCAAATATATGAAACCATCTCTCCCATAAAAGCTTCAAATGAAAAATAAAATTATAAAAAGATATATGCAGAACATGTATGACTGCATGATTACCTCTCATTATATCTACTGATGTGATAATTTTAGACAGTGCTGCAATTAAAGCAAAGTCTTCATAAGGACTGCCTTCCTTAAGTCTCCACTTTTTCATCTCGGCTTTTCTTCTGTTTCGTGAAGAACGACTGAAAAAAAAATTTGTTATAGGAAATAATTATCCTAATACATATAAATATGGTACTGTTAGTTAAAAGTCATCTAGGGATTAGATACAAAATGACCCTTGATCAGTAATTTTACTTATATACTGTGTATTAATTGAACCTATCAAATCTGAACTGATTTTAAGGTGGTCTGTACCCAGTGGACTTGGTGAAGGTGGAGGACTGTGAACCAGAGTATTTTGATGACTGGATGCTCTCCCCTGTGGCACTGCTGGCATCAGAGAACAAGTCTGCATCAGCATCGTTCACACCTCCCATCTCTGGAACACAAATCCTTAAATTATTATTCAATGGCTCTAAATGTCAATAACACAAACTGATACAATCCCCAATTTATATCACTGATATTTGAAAAACAGAACATTTCAGAGGTTTAAGACAACTATTTCTTTTAATGTACATGTAAGTCAGGCAGTATAGTTTTATCTGATTTAATCAAATGACCAAACTGTATCTACATTGTTTATCTCAGTGAATGTATTAAAATGTAAACCAATTTTAATAAAACCTGACAGCTTTGTATTGAAAAGGAAGATTCTTTTTAATTTAAAAAAAATTCAAGCATAAAACCCTAAATACATAATGTTCAATGAAACAAATTGTTACCTAGAAACTCTAGCCTTGACCTTTCTTTCTCCTCTCTAACGACCTTTAACCTCTTCCTGTATTTCTCAAAATCTGCCCTCATTGATTCCAGGGATTCCATTTGACCTTCATAGCTCTCCAACATGGCTGGCTTCAAGTTTGTCTCAATGAAATCAGTTCTACTGTGTTTGTACATCTTTGAATAAATAAGATTATTAAACAATGCATGTATACTAACAAAGTATATTCATATGCAAAGCCTTTTAAATAAGGAAATCTCAGTTAAAAATAAGCGATACCTGTTCAACTTCCTTTATATCACAAAAATATCTCATATGGAATTATTGCCTGACGTCACGGCGTCAGGCTGTATAAGGATTGATAATTGCTTGATCCGAAACTAATAGATCATACCCAGAGAGCTAAATTTTGTGCAAGCTGATTTACATTGGAAATCTTTTACCTGCATTTTAAAAGAAACTTTTTTTCAGGGAAACAATAATTTTACTGATGCAAAATAATGCAGTATTTACTTTGTTTACTCTGTTTGCATGAAACAGATTATTCCATTTGATTTACCGTTTCAATGTGTCCGTGTATCTTTTTTTCTGCATTTCTATACTACTGGATCAGTCCATTTATATTCTACAAAAGGAGTGAATCACTCTTTTCGCGCCAAATGTCACGAGTAAGCGATCATCGCGCCTTTTCTTGGAATGTTCTATTGTATGATTGGGGATGCTAACTTCCATGGAATTAAATAAAGTTTGTTATTGTAACCTCCATCGTCTTATGATTCAGAAATTCTATCTACAACTTTTATCTTATTCATTAAAGCAACATATGAATCGTATGTATCAGAATATGGACATGCGAAACAAAAGAAATGATTTCTCTAATTTGTTTCCCCTCTGTTGGTTTATTCCATATTTTAATGGACTAGTCCAATCACCACAAACGATCGACGCAGTTCAATCAGATTCCAGAAAAAAAGATCACATGAACACAAACTACTACTGTTTACTTCATTGGAGAAAATGCTTTCCCACAACATACGTATTTAGATATATCCATTCTCTAAAATGTTCACAATGAATTATTTGACAACAGATTTCAGAATAGGTGTAGCTTTAAATTTAGATTCAGGGGTAGATCAATCTTCTTGCAGAAAAGTCAATCGCATCATCTCGGGTCTTTTTGTCAGAGGTCAAAAAACAAACTCGAATGTATCGACATCATCGGATGTTAAAATGTTTTACATTTCCTGTTCATAGTAAAAACGGAGTTAGAAGTCCCTTCTATAGTATATTTAGATAATATCATTACATTGAATAAAGTTAACTTCATATTCCACAGAAAATAGGTCTATATACAACATTCATGCTTTTATTTCAAAGTTTGTGAAAGGGGGGTGTCATGGCGTATAAATTAACAATACATTTGTGGTTTTCTTCCCTAGATAAGGCTTGAGGAGTGAGACCGAGGAGTAACAATTGGCAGAGAACCCACATACATTAACCATTCTGTTAACAACTCTTCAGAATGCAGCAAAGGCATCGTTCTTTTACAAGTTAAATAATTAAATATTTTTACAAGGTTCTCAAATAAAAAGACATATTTCAAACACAAAAATGTATTGCTCAAAAGGTTTATAACTTCTCTTACAGATATTGATTGATTAAGTCAGGCAAGCTTTTTGAAAAGCTGTTACTTGTGGATATGAAGAATTTCAGTAATCATTTATATCCAATGGACATTCTCATACAGTAAAACTCGGTAAGTACTAACACAGATATTGCAAATTCACGGATATGTAGAAGTAATATTGGATCCCCAGCTACCAGATATAAGCAAGTTTTACTGTATATTTAACAATTATCACTTGTTTTATGATGTATGAAATTAAAGCTATTCATTAAGTATACATATTTACCCTTCTGAGGGCCTCCTCCCACTGGCACCCCTCTATGAGACAAACAATGGCCTCCTCTACATCATTAGCATATTCCTCTAAAACAGTGGCAGCATCTACATGGCTCTTGTTGCTTCTCAATTGATCTAAATAAAAAAGGGGATTTGGGTTTACCATACTGGTCTTTTCCCTGTTTTTTTTTCCTACAGCTGAAACATCAGTACAATGTATCTGAATCAATGTAAACAATAACTCACCAAAAAGTTAAGATATTTTATTCTCCTCCAACACAATATTAAAGTAATTACAGCTAAACTTTGGTATCTAAAACACAAATATCTTGAAATTGATGATTGACTGTATTTCTATGACCAATAAGGTGGTTACTTACTGGCTAATTTTCGTGCCAAATCCACTTCATTTTCCTTGTTGTATTTTAATTTAGCAGCCATACAGAAGGCTTGCCTCCAGTTGCTGCAGGACTTGAAGGCATTCAGAGCTAGCTCCCATTCCTCAGCCTTCACATACACAAGACCCGCCTCCTCTGCTTTCTTCTTCTCAATCAG